CTCAGTTTGTTTATCTCACTTCAGTTTTATTGCTGCAGTGCAACATGGGATTGTCAAGCAGACAAACTGACCAACACTTTCATGAAAACCTGTCATAAATGTTGTATGCACCTGGCAAACTCAACTATTTGTATTACAGTCTAATCTAGTCCACCTTAATTAAATGTAAACAGGTATGCACTGCTGTGCTACTACAGGTGTTTTGAACAATACAACTTAAAATTGTACTAAAAAGTTGTGCAGACCCTTCAGCAATTGGGGCATTTGAAAGTAAATTACGGTTAAATTTAAATTAAATTAAATTAAACATGTAGTCTTACATCTAGGGATGCACCGAAATGAAAATTCTGGGCCGAAACAGAAACAGAAAATTCTGGATGCACTTGGCCCGAAAACCGAAACCGAAAATGCTTTGTAATGATTATTTATTATTTTATTAAATAATATAAAGTCATTTTGTAAGACTTTTTAAATTTAACTTGATTTTAATGATACTGAATTTAAAAAAATAAGCCAATAAAATGACCACACTTTTACTGAAAGTAACACAATAAAACGACAGAATTTATATTAATATTGGTAACACTTTACAATAAGGTTCATTAATTAACATTAGTTAATGAACTAAGAATGATTCAATAGTTCTTCAGCATTTATTAATCTTAGCTCATGTTAATTGCAACATTTACTAATGCATTATTAAAATCAACAGTTGTGCTTGTTAAGTTAACTTAATGCACTCTGAATTAACATGAACTAACAGTGAATAACTGTATTATAATCAACTAACATTAAGAAAGATGAATAAATACTGTAATAAATGTATTGTTCATTGTTCATTCATGATAGTCAATACATTAACCAACATTAACTAATATAACCTAACTAAAATGTGTTACCTTAATATTAAATATCAATATATTATTTTTATTCACTTCTATGTAGCAGAATCAGATATAATTATTTTTTTGACTAATTATCAAAATAATGTATAGTCCTACAAAGCTATTATTATCATCAGAGCATATGAGCAGAGCATAGCGTCACTGAAGGTAGCATCATTTTAGCAGCGTTGCCCAGTACAGCTGAACTAGCCTACACCATGTTACATACATGCGACTCGCACGCCATATACAGTGGGTACGGAAAGTATTCAGACCCCCTTCAATTTTTCACTCTTTGTTATATTGCAGCCATTTGCTAAAATCATTTAAGTTAATTTTTTTCCTCATTAATGTACACACAGCACCCCATATTGACAGAAAAACACAGAATTGTTGACATTTTTGCAGATTTATTAAAAAAGAAAAACTGAAATATCACATGGTCCTAAGTATTCAGACCCTTTGCTCAGTATTTAGTAGAAGCACCCTTTTGATCGAATACAGCCATGAGTCTTTTTGGGAAATATTGCAGCCATTTGCTAAAATTCATTTAAGTTAATTTTTTTCCTCATTAATGTACACACAGCACCCCATATTGACAGAAAAACACAGAATTGTTGACATTTTTGCAGATTTATTAAAAAATAAAAACTGAAATATCACATGGTCCTAAGTATAGAGAATGAGGAGTTACGTCACGATCTTTTCACTCCGCATTGCATTTCGGGAATGCGCCGCCATATTAGCAGGATACGCTATCCGTTCCCATGGTTACTTCTCATTCTCTATAAGGATAAGTGCTTATCTTTTGTTTTGTTTTTGCCTTTAAGTTAAACAACCATTCATTCTTCATTGTATCGTTTGCAGGGAAGAGAAGCTATTTTATCGCACTGCATGATATGCACTGCATTTCTCTCTTAGGTTTGGTAGAATTTTGTTTAACGTTACAGTGTTTACCCGATTAGCGGGAAAACAGTGTCGCCCACTGCTGCTTCAGCCGCCAAGGCTCTTCTCCCCCGATAGCTCAGTTTGGCCGGACAGCCAGCTCTAGGAAGGGTTCTGGTCGTCCCAAACGTCTTCCATTTAAAGATCTTATATAGACAGGTGTGTGGCTTTGCAAGTCCAATCAGTATAATCAAACACAGCTGGACTCATATGAAGGTGTAGAACCATCTCAAGGATAATCAGAAGAAATGGACAGCACCTGAGTTAAATATATGAGTGTCACAGCAAAGGGTCTGAATACTTAGGACCATGTGATATTTCAGTTTTTCTTTTTTAATAAATCTGCAAAAATGTCAACAATTCTGTGTTTTTCTGTCAATATGGGGTGCTGTGTGTACATTAATGAGGAAAAAAATTAACTTAAATGATTTTAGCAAATGGCTGCAATATAACAAAGAGTGAAAAATTTAAGGGGGTCTGAATACTTTCCGTACCCACTGTATATTATTATATGTAGCCTATATTTTCGGTGCATCCCTACTTACAGGGTGCGAACTACGGGGGAGCTAGGGGGAGCTCAGCTCCCCTTAATAAGATATGGGCTCCCCTGAAAACGTGATTTGTGAAATTTTGGGGGGTCTCAAAAAATATTGACAATGTGTTATTTTGACGTGCAATTTCAGTTTTGTGTAATGTGATCATCGTAGATTATTATGTGTAAAATTGCAAAAATATCATTAATTCATGCATGACGGCGATTTAAACCTAATTCACTTCAATAAAGATAACTATACATGCTATTCTTGTCATGAGCATCAAGGTGTGAGGGTGCTGCGGTGCAAATTCCACTCATGTTTAGTACATGTTAACTCAAAGATTCGTAGAAAAAATATAAACGTTGGACTCTGTGGTCGATTCTGTGTTAAGGTAAGCAGTGATTGTAAGCCTCCTTTTGGGGGACCCCCCCCCCCCCCCGTTATAAAAAGACAAAACAAGTGGGCTCCCCCAAAGTCCACGGTATAGTTCGAACACTGCCTACTTACATCCCCTCCTTATTTACAAATCTGAAGTAAGTCCATATACATCCAATTTAAACGCGGAAGGGGCTTTCCTGATAACTTTCCGCGATGCCGCCCTCTTTATTTTACTAACTTACTGCATGCTGAAGGTGACCCATCTGACCTCACCAGAAAAAAACTCAACACCACCATCTAGTGGATTGTACAGAAATGTATTTTATTACCGGTATTCTACCAAATAGTATAATAAAAGATCGATACTTGGCATCCGTGTATCGATACAGTATTGCCACGGAAAATATCGCGATACTATGCTGTATCGATTTTTTCCCACACCCCTATAAGACACACCAACTTTCAAAATCAAGCAGCAAAACAAACTGTTTTGTTCAGCTAAAAATAGCTGGACGGAGTGGACGCAGATGGGACCGGAAGCCAGACCCATAGAATTTACAAATGGCCGCGCCCATTTTTACGACAAGAAAAAGGTGGATAGAGAATGAGAAGTAACCATGGGAACGGATGTATCCTGCTAATATGGCGGCGCCTTCCCGAAATGCAATGCGGAGTGAAAAGATTGTGACGTAACTCCATTCTCTATTGCGGTGGCAGTAGACAACCGCTTGACGTGGTTGTCACGGCGACCGTCACAGCCCTAAAGCCAACGCAAAGTTTCTTGGAGAAACGCAATAGTTTTGCAAGTAAAAGCAAAGTTTCTCAGGGGAACGCAAGAATTTTGCGAACGAGGAAGAATGATTCATTCATGCATCAGACATTGCGATTCTAGAAAAGAACATTCTAAACTGCACTGGCTGTAACACTGCTTAACTCGACATAATGGTTCAGAAATTACCCATAATTCTTAGCAAAATGCGTTGAGGAACCGTGTAGGAGATGTAAACACAAACCTTATCTGCCACGCTGCCTGGCACCACAGTCCTGACCACCATTCCTGTTGCCTTGCCTCCGACAATCCCAAATCCCAGGCCGGATCCATCATTCACCAGCTCAATCTCATCCACGTGTCCCCACTGATCCTGCAAAAGACACACACAGGAGACAGTTTTCAATCTCTTGTCTTGTCTTATACATTAGAGGTCAGTGGGCATTGGTCATAATTTACTTTGAGCCACAAAACTGTCTACTTAAAGAATAAGCAGTGATTGTAAGCCTCCTTTTGGGGGACCCCCCCCCCCCCCCGTTATAAAAAGACAAAACAAGTGGGCTCCCCCAAAGTCCACGGTATAGTTCGAACACTGCCTACTTACATCCCCTCCTTATTTACAAATCTGAAGTAAGTCCATATACATCCAATTTAAACGCGGAAGGGGCTTTCCTGATAACTTTCCGCGATGCCGCCCTCTTTATTTTACTAACTTACTGCATGCTGAAGGTGACCCATCTGACCTCACCAGAAAAAAACTCAACACCACCATCTAGTGGATTGTACAGAAATGTATTTTATTACCGGTATTCTACCAAATAGTATAATAAAAGATCGATACTTGGCATCCGTGTATCGATACAGTATTGCCACGGAAAATATCGCGATACTATGCTGTATCGATTTTTTCCCACACCCCTATAAGACACACCAACTTTCAAAATCAAGCAGCAAAACAAACTGTTTTGTTCAGCTAAAAATAGCTGGACGGAGTGGACGCAGATGGGACCGGAAGCCAGACCCATAGAATTTACAAATGGCCGCGCCCATTTTTACGACAAGAAAAAGGTGGATAGAGAATGAGAAGTAACCATGGGAACGGATGTATCCTGCTAATATGGCGGCGCCTTCCCGAAATGCAATGCGGAGTGAAAAGATTGTGACGTAACTCCATTCTCTATTGCGGTGGCAGTAGACAACCGCTTGACGTGGTTGTCACGGCGACCGTCACAGCCCTAAAGCCAACGCAAAGTTTCTTGGAGAAACGCAATAGTTTTGCAAGTAAAAGCAAAGTTTCTCAGGGGAACGCAAGAATTTTGCGAACGAGGAAGAATGATTCATTCATGCATCAGACATTGCGATTCTAGAAAAGAACATTCTAAACTGCACTGGCTGTAACACTGCTTAACTCGACATAATGGTTCAGAAATTACCCATAATTCTTAGCAAAATGCGTTGAGGAACCGTGTAGGAGATGTAAACACAAACCTTATCTGCCACGCTGCCTGGCACCACAGTCCTGACCACCATTCCTGTTGCCTTGCCTCCGACAATCCCAAATCCCAGGCCGGATCCATCATTCACCAGCTCAATCTCATCCACGTGTCCCCACTGATCCTGCAAAAGACACACACAGGAGACAGTTTTCAATCTCTTGTCTTGTCTTATACATTAGAGGTCAGTGGGCATTGGTCATAATTTACTTTGAGCCACAAAACTGTCTACTTAAAGAATAAAGATCCATTCAATCACCTTTGATTGTCTAAATAGGGAGCAATTGACGACCCAAGACCTATGACTACATCCTGCGACAGAGTCGTAATAGGTTACGAAATGCTAATGATCATGTTAACGGTGTGATCCCGCAGTGGCTGATCAATGTCAGGGTCAGGAAAGCCCACGAGAGTCTTTGTGATCTCCCGTCATTGGCGCTCCTAATCACCCAAGTCTCCTTGGGCTCATATAAATGACCTGCAATCAGTACATTTATGTTCTCTTATTACCAGGCTGTTATCTGCCGGGTGACTACTTCTGCAATTTTCTCACTATCTAATGAAACCCCTCCTCTGCCGTTCACCCCATCGCTCTTTCGAAACAAAGCTTTACACTAGCGCTCACCCTGCTGTGAGGAGAAAAGAACCATTTCGAAGATAAGAAGTCTCTTTCTAAGTCCCCAAAGAAAAATTCAAGTACTTTTTGAGACTTGCTTACCCGGGTTCGAAATTCACCACTGTCATGATTCATCAGTGTACATTAGATCAGGGATAAAATTCTTCAATCTTACGCAATTTGTATGATGTTGCATAATGGATGCATATGGATGTGGTTAGGATTGGGTTTTGTAATAAAAAAAAAGGGGGGGGGAGGGGCACAAAACTAAAACGAAAAACAAAACATACAAAACCTAAAAATAAATTAATAAACAAAATAACAAAAAGACAAAAAACGAAAAATAAAATGATAAAAAACAAAAACAAACAAAAACACAAGACAAAACAAATAAATAAATAAAATAAAACCAAATAAAATGAAAAAAACTAAACTAGAATGCAAATATAAACAAAATAAAACCTCAAAATAAAAATAAAATAAACATAAAAAGCAACAATAGACAAAACAAAACTACAAATAAAATGCAAAAAAGTAATAAAAAATAAATGCAAAACAACCCACACAAAAAAACAGAACAAAAAGAAACAAGACAACAACAAACTTAAAAACACTAAAACAAAATTAAACTAAAATAACTAAACATACAAAAACTAAAAGTAAAACAAAATGAAATGAAAACAAGACAAAACAAAAAAGAAAATGCAAAAAAACTAACTAAAAACAAAGACAACACAATACAAAAAAACAAAAAACAAAAAAAAAAGTAAAACAAAAACATTTAAATAATTATGCTTCCGCAAAAAGACTAAAAGTTTTGAAAAAAAATGTCATTTTTGAGTTTGCTATTCCTTTGAACATGCCTGGCAATCCTATCATAAATCTGTAACAAAACTACAAATAAAATGCAAAAAAGTAATAAAAAATAAATGCAAAACAACCCACACAAAAAAACAGAACAAAAAGAAACAAGACAACAACAAACTTAAAAACACTAAAACAAAATTAAACTAAAATAACTAAACATACAAAAACTAAAAGTAAAACAAAATGAAATGAAAACAAGACAAAACAAAAAAGAAAATGCAAAAAAACTAAAACTAAAAACAAAGACAACACAATACAAAAAACAAAAAACTAAAAAAAAAGTAAAACAAAAACATTTAAATAATTATGCTTCCGCAAAAAGACTAAAAGTTTTGAAAAAAAATGTCATTTTTGAGTTTGCTATTCCTTTGAACATGCCTGGCAATCCTATCATAAATCTGTTAGAGGATTCAAACACAGCAAACACTGATGACCCAAACCCAACAAATACAGCTATATTTCTTTCCACAAACAGCCGTATTTCCTTCAGGCCGCAGCTTACATAAACATATATACATTAGCGATGGTTAATGAGAATGCCATTGTGGGAGGCAGAAAACATCTCCGTTGGGAAAAGGCTTGGATGTTATTCCTCCAGGAGTGGGAATCCCGGAGCAGTGCACCACAAGTCTTGCCTACATGAAACTTTCCAACGGAGTATAATTAGGATTCAAGATATTTTCAAGGGCTTCAGAGGTCTGGGTCTACAGAGAGATAGAAGGGCAGGGGAAGTGAGGAAAAATATACCTCAGCTACATTTGCTCTTGCTCTCCTCCATTTAAGGAATGGAGCTGTGATCCCATGGGGTCCTAACAATCTTAAATAGATAAATATTTTCTCAGCTTTAAACGATAAGAGAATAGATTGAAATGGAAGGGAAGGTGGGGGTCTGTTTGAATATGGGGTTAGCAAGAGGACATAATACATGCTTGCGAAGCGACGTCTTTATTGCTAAGCTTTTAAGCCGACATATGATGATTGACATTAGTAATTCCCAAGTCTCAGATTGACAGGTATTTAAACGTAATAAGGAAACAATGTGTTTGGAGTTTTAAGTAAAAAGGGCTTAAATTTTACATGATCAACAAGGGTGAATCTCAGGAAAACATGTCCAGGGGCCCGTTCTTCGTACGTCGCTTATTACATCCGAGATGAAATGTCACATCCAAGATGGTATCATTGTGCTAATCAGGATCTGGCTAATTCGGTTCTTCAAACGCACCTGTTGTTGACGATTCGTATAGTTGGATTGAGTTATCTGATATAATTGCGTATTCATGGGTTGGTTTAAAAGGGGCTATGTATCGATACTCGAAACCACGATCAGCAATGCAGTGATTGGCTGGCGGCAAGACAGCAACGTAATTATTAAAAAAGACACCTGATGAAAAACTTGACCACTTTCTGGACTTGTATAAGGAAACAGCCAAGCGAACAAAACTACATAAATGTGATAAATGAAATTTGCACTGTTTTTATTTTATTTTAATTCTTTACATGATTCCCAATTAGGCTATTTATATTCACGATTTCTAATATTTGTACAGGCTTTACATTTTTATTTCAATGTAGTAATTAGCAATTCAATTTGATATTTTAACAGATTTGTTACGTGACAGCATTATTTAAAGTTTCTTAAGGGTCAAGATCATGTTATCTGCACCTCCCCCAAGCCACTCCCATAATAGCTGTCATCACTCAAATTAATGCACGACTCTACATTATCTGTATAGCATGTGTGTAAGACTCGAATACAATTATCAAGTAATAATTTTATGATGAATAAATCTTTCAGTGAGTAAAACTGACTGTGTCTATAATATTAAAAACTACACAACATTCTTATTTTATCTTTAAATTAATTTTTAAATGATTATTATTTTAAATCATTGTCCCTGGATTAGTGAGCGGTCTCACCTGTCTGCGACACTCCCTTGTTGCACCTGTCTGACGAACACACCGTGACTGCCGACCCCCTCTGGTCTCAGGCCGACCACACTGAAACCCAGACCTCCAGACAACGGCTTCTGCAGGCTGACGAGCTCTGTCTTTCTTCCCTGAGTTAAAAAATCCAGTGAAGATGCATCATTCATCCTAACTGTATAAACAACGCAAGCTGAACCAAAACATAGTAGAAATTATGTTCAATATTTGGCACGTTAAATAAAACAATGTTTATCCAAAGAAAAATGACATAAAATACATCCCACCTTTTCCACTGCATGTATCCATCTCTGAAGCTGCTCAGAAGATGCGTTAGTTGAAGCTGTACCGTTGGACACCACGGATCCCAGGCTGCTGGACGGACGACTCGCACTGACGATCAGCTGACCCTTCCTGGAGAAACCGAACTCGGTGCATGTGTCCGGGGGCAAACTGTTTAACTAAGAAGTAGAGAGGACAAAGTCAATTCTAAAGCTATACAGAACATAAAATATAATACTAATAATGGTCATTATTATTACTACAACTATAAGTGTGATTGATTAATAATAATAATAACTGAATGGATGTGTTAGACCAAATACTTAATTGTTTCATATTCATTATTTAGACCAGGGGTCACCAGACTCCGTCCTGGAGGGCCAATGTCCTGCTGAGTTTAGTTCCAACCCTAATTAACACACCTGAACCAGCTAATCAAGGTCTTACTTGGTATACTTGTAACTTCTAGGCAGGTGTGTTGAGGCAAATTGAAGCTAAACTCTGCAGGCCCTCCAGAATCAAGTTTGGTGACTCCTGATTTAGACAAACACGAATTGTGCCTATTTGTGAATTAGTTTGATCTATAGGCCTAATAACACTACAAATATAACAAAAACAACAACAATAATGCCTATTTATAAATTACTTTGAAATGCATTTGAATAATAATAATAATAATAATAATAATAATGTAATGCATGAGTTGGGTACTTAAATGTTTCAAATCTGTTTAGACAAATAAATTGTTTAAAAAATAATAATTATAACAAATTACAAATTTGTTAGAAGTACATTTTATTAATAATAATAACAATTGAATGCATGTGTTGGATATTTAAATGTTTCAAATGTGTTATTTAGAAAAATACAAATTGTTTAAAAATGTTATTTAAATGTTATAAAAATTATTATAATAATAAATATTATTATACCAATAACAACAAAAGCAACAATGATAATGCCTAGTTATGAATTTGTTTGAATTACATTTTAATAATAATAATAATAATAATAACTAAATGCACGAGTTGGATACTTAAATGTTTCAAATATGTTATTTAGACAAATTTAAATAGTTTAAAATTATTTTATAATAAATTACAAATTTGGTATAAATTATTATAATAAATTTATAATATAATTAAAAATAAAGACTATTATTATTACTATTATTATAACAATAACAACACAAACAACAACAATAACGCTTATTTACAAATTTGTTTGAAAAATGTTTTAATAATAATAATTATTATTATCATTATTTTTGTTATTAGATTGAGTTGGACTAAATGCTTCAATGTTTCTAATTAATTATATAGACATATTAATTGTGCCTATTCACAAATTTGTTTCACAATAAGCTCTTTAACTATGTAGTGGAGAGGTCCTGATAGTTATAAAAAATACATAAATGAATACATACACAAATACATAAATAAAGCCTTTGAATCAAGCATTATCTTTCAAATAGCTTGTCCAAATAATTACCACATATTGCTGAGATACTTGAATGTTTAAATGCTTCAATGTTTCTAATTAATTATATAGACATATTAATTGTGCCTATTCACAAATTTGTTTCACAATAAGCTCTTTAACTATGTAGTGGAGAGGTCCTGATAGTTATAAAAAATACAAATGAATACATACACAGATACATAAATAAATCCTTTGAATCAAGTATTATCGTTCAAATAGCTTGTCCAAATAATTACCACATATTGCTGAGATACTTGAATGTTTAAGTTAGTTATGCAGACAAATATAAATTGTGCCCATTTGCGAATTTGTATTAAAAAACCTGACCATTGTAAGTATACAAATAAACTGTTTATCAACCCTTAACTCATTCAGCTTGTACAAATAATTTGGGATAAACCATGTGCTGTAAATCTAAAAGATAAAACAGCCCACAGAGGAACAGCCATGTCCTACAGGCAGAGGAAAGGAAGGGAAAAAATAAAAGGGAAAAAAAAATCAATACATTCCCCTGCAGTATTTGCTAGTCCCCAGCAGGTAATGTATTAATGACCTTTAGACTCTTACTGTGGGAACTTATCAGTCTTGTGCTTATTTAGTCTGGGGCTGACAGAGCAGGTTCCAGCCTATTTCATCGATACATCTCCGACAAGGCAGTTACTCAAACTCAGACAGTAGATATTAAGGCTTGATAGAAACTCCGGCTGTTGCCCGCCTCGACATACTTGATAGGTTTTTCACCTGATGCATTCATAGGCGCACGTCTGACCTTCCCAGCACTTAGAATATGAAGGCGAGCTTCCGTTATTGCCATTATCTTAATTTGGTGTGCGGATTGTTTATTGTAAAGAGGTTTCTTGTGTCAATAAAAACTCAGACTGAATACAAATAGGGATGAGGGTCTTTCAGCATCGCGAGTGTGTGGATAAGAAATACATGCTCACTGGCCTGCAAACTGGGATGGGATGCAAACAAACAAGTTAATTTTTTTAAAGTTATTTGGGTTTAAATAAATGACGTGATTTCTATGCTGATCTGGCATTATGAATACACATTAACATACTGCGCTTTATCTGACCTTGGAGATTCTTTACCATTTTAATGCATTGAAACATAAATAGTGGATTTAACTTTCAACAAAATTCTACCATTATATGATCATTAGTTAATTAAAAAGGCTAGTAGTGAAATAACGTATGTATATTATACATTTGTTTTTGTGTACAGTTGTAGTAACAACTACCCAGAACACCCTAGCAACAACTCAGGACTCTTCTGAAACCACAAAATACCCTAGCAATATGGCGTCAAGTATTTCCAATGCAAAAATCACTTTTTGTCTTCAGAAAAATTTAATCATCTAGTTTGATTTACAATAATTAATTCAAATAGTTAGAAATATCTTGATACTTTGATTTTCATTTTCATATTTGAACATACTAGAATTACTGGTCTGTTAAGTATTATATTAATTAATATAAAAGGCTACTGTAAAGGGTTGCTGAGGCTTTCATATTTGTATAGGCATTCATGGAATAATTTTTTTTCCATTTACTCATATATATATATATATATATATATATATTTTTTTTTTAAATATATTCAATTACTACATGTTATAAGAGATGAACCAAACCAACCAGGCCTGAAATTAATTACATTACAAAATCATTTTGACGGAAAATTATTATTAAATTTTTTTTAAAGATTTGGGGGGGGGAATAAATTGATTACAAAAGTTAAACTAAAAGAAAAAAAGTCTAAGAAAAAGAAAAAAGAAAAAGTATTTATAAACTGATTTAAGCAAAATATATATATATATATATTTTTTTTTTTTAATTTGAAAAAAATGGACAAATGGAAAAATTGGAGAATTTTTTTTTTTAAAGAAAATTAGAAAAAATAATTTTTTGTTTGTTTTTAAAGGTTCAAGGCTGTTTTTTATGATGGAATAAACTACTCATCTCATGAAGCATTGCATATGATACTGAAAAAAAAACTATCACGGTTGCCATTAAAAAATATAAAAGGGATAGTTCACCCAAAAATGAAAATTCTGTCATTAATAACTCACCCTCATGTCATTCCAAACCCTTAAGACCTTTGCTTATCTTTGGAACACAAATTAAGATATTTTTGATGAAATCTGAGAGCTCTCTGACCCTTCATGGACAGCAAGGTAATTATCACGATCAACACACAGAAACCTAGCAAGGACATCCGTAAAATAGTCCATGTGACATCAGGGGTTCAACCGTAATTTTACGAAGCTACGAGAATCATTTTTGTGTGTAAAGAAAACAATAATAACAATTTATTCAGCAGTTCTTCTCCCCGAGTTACCGTGTTCCACCATTTCGGATAGTATTCCCGAATGTAATCACCATAATCAGCATTGTTTACGTTCAGAAGACAGTGCGCGCATGCTGAACGTAAACAAAGCTGATTACGTTGATTGATGTTGGTACTCTCCAAAATGGCGGAAGACGGTAACTCGGGGAGAAGAACTGCTGAATAAATTATGTTATTATTGTTTTCTTTACGCACAAAAAGTATTCTCGTAGCTTCGTAAAATTACGGTTGAACCCCTGATGTCACATGGACTATTTTACGGATGTCCTTGCTACGTTTCTGTGCGTTGATTTCTGTGGTAATATCATTGCTGTTTATGGAGGATTAGAGAGCTCTCATATTCCATAAAAAATATTTTAATTTTTGTTCCGAAGATGAACAAAGGTCTTACGGGTTTGGAACGATACCATTTTTGGGTAAACTAACCCTTTGAGCAGCAGAACTTTTTTTTAACATTGATAGTAATAAGAAATGTTTCTTGAGCAGCTAATCAGCATATTAAATTGATTTCTGAAGGATCATGTGACACTAGGGCTGGGTGAAAATTCGATAACGATAATTATCGCGATATAATTTCCCTCGATAAAACGATATGAAGAGTTCGATAAATTTTCGATATAATGTTTATGCGCCAAAAGCGGAACGAAACAGCATGACTCATTTGAATCGCGCCACTCGGACCGTTTATTCGCTATTTACTTGTAGCATGTATTTGTGATTAAGCTATAGCATGTGTGCATTTATACTGAATGTTTTTAGACTACTGTTTTTCATGCAAATATGCTACCTAAAAACCATATAGTTATATTTTTACCTTGGTATTGAGGTGCTATATGTGTGGTTTTAACTGTGTTTATCATGATTTAAATGTATGCTACTATGGGAGACCAATTCTTAATTTAAAAAATAAATAAATAAAAACTTGGTCAGAATAAATTTAACCATATAAAACTGAGGTTGCTACAATTTTTACTGATTTTGATAATGAACAAAAATGTACCTCTGCATCCTAACTCAAGCTACCATAAAATGTGCATTTCTAAGAGACAAAAAGTGATTATTATTATTAATATTATCAGGCAACCCAAACCTGTTTCTTGATTTGAAACAATATCATTCATTAGAACATGCAGAAACTAAGAAATACATTTTTCTATTTAGATATTTATTTTGTTAAGGAAAATTAAGGGTCTGGTTTCTACAATTTTCACTATATCTATATACAGTATATATATATATATATCTCTTATAAGTATATATATATATATATATATATATATATATATATA